TACCAGGAGTGAGGTCGATGCAGAAATCCACTGCCCTCCTAGGAGGCAAACCCGGAATATCCCGAAACACATCTGCATACTCTGACACTGTAGGCAACTGCTCTATAGTCACGCATTGCTCAACCACCTCGATGTGGGCCAGAAATCCCATGGTCATGGTGCCCTCAAACTCCCCACACTTATATCGAGAAGGTAACTGTCCCAGAACTGAGAATACAATAATCCTCTCATGGCAGTCCAACTGAGCATGATATCTAGCCAACCAATCCATACCCAGTATAGCATCAAATTCTCTCATACGTAATACTATTAAATCAATAGGATACTCCAACTCCCCAATTGTAACAGGGCAAGCACGACATATTCTATTAAGTGTCGTCGCGCTCCCGAGTGGAGTTGTAATAGATAAGGTATTACTTATATGTCCAGGTTCTAATCCCAGTGTATCCACAAATGATAGTGCAATAAAAGAATATGAAGAACCTGAATCAAATAGTACTCTAGCTATACTGCCATAAATAGTAAGTGTACTTTCCACTGTTGGTGATGCACGATCCTGTCTCCCATCTGGAACAACTGCATAAACCCTTGCACCTCCTTGTTGCTGTGGTGCCTGACCTTTCTGCTGGTTATTCTTGTGAGGCTTGGGACAATTACGAGCCAAATGTCCTTGCTCACGACAATTGTAGCAATGCCCGCTGAACTGATATGGCTGTGCATCATGAGGTGTGGCTGGTACTAAAGCGGTGGATTGCTCACCTTCACCAACTCTCTGCCGTTTCCCTGCTCGCCAATCTTGTCTACCTCTCTGCCAAGACTGACCCTGCCAGTTTCTCTGAGTCTGCTGCTGCTGGCCCCTCTGATTCTGTTGAGAGCTACTCTGATTCTGTTGAGTGCTGCTAGCCCCCTTACCTTTCTGTTCTGCCCTACGCTCCTTCTGTTTCTGAAAGGCAATGTTATTATTCTCCTCTATTGCCATAGCACATTCCACCACTCTAGCATAAGTGTCAAAACGATGACCCACCGCAAACTTCTTCACATAAGAGACCAATCCTCGCTCAAACTTTCTAACCTTGTGTAACTCATTCGCAACAATGTGAGGAGCGAATCGGGATAGCTCTGTAAACTTCCTCTCGTACTCACTAACTGACATCTCATTATTCTGTTCCAACTGCGTGAACTCTGCTGCCTTCTTCTCCTTCACTGATTGTGGAAAGTATTTGTCATTGAACCGAGTTTTAAAATCATCCCAGGTCATAGTTGTAATGTCTACAACCATCCTGGTCTCTGACTGCCACCACTGGCGCGCCTCACCAGATAAAAGAAATGCACCAATCTTCCTTTTCTGCACCTCAGTGCAGTCCATCATCTCAAAATACTTTTCCATATCTTCAATCCACTTCTCAGCATCAAGTGGATCGGTAGCTCTAGCAAATTCAACAGCCCCCAATTTGCGGATATCTCTGATAAATCCAATCATAGGATTCGGCACATGAGGTGCATCCTCCAACTGAACATCGTCATGGTTAACACCACCACGACCAACACCTCCCTGACCTCTGCCTCTAGCAGGTCGTCCTCTGCCTCTTCCAGCTCCTGACATCCTATTTTCAGTAAAGAATGTCAATGATAAGTCTCACAAGTAATTTATACTTAAACTGGAGCATGGTAAGAGAGCAATAATTTGTATAAGTATATGCTCCTATTCTTACTGTCACTTTTCTTAGCCAGGTAATTCTTAACCTAGGCTCTGATACCAAATTGTCATGCCCCAAAAAAAAAATCTTAAATACATGAACTCCTGTCTTGTATTAAAGTCTGGCATGACTTTCATTACAGAACCACAACATTACAAAAAATAAAATAAAATAAAAAATAATCAAATAAAGAGGTAGATTCAAACCACCCTCTAATTATTAAATTGATACAACCATAGTATCAAACAACCTTGTCAAAAATAATCCACGATAACTGGACCAAAATGAACTAACTCAAAAGAAAAATATCGCCATTCTTATTACAATGCGAAAATTAACTAAACCAAAAAAATACATAAAGCTGGCCAAAATCCATCACCATCATGTGATCCCATCACGTTCCTACTCAACGTGTACCTGAAGTGTGATAATAGGGTGAGCTCACAAGCTCAGCAATAAATGCTAAACACAATCATCGTTCAGCAAATTAATCTCACCTTGTATTCTTATATATATAAGCAGCTCAAATAAGTGCTTTAATCATATATGTAAATCCCACTTAATTATAAACTCAATAAATATCTATTATTTATTCATTAATAAATCCACATCTCTCGCATGAGCCCCTGGCTCCCGTCCAATAAAGTGGTGTGAATCGTATAGTCCCTGACTACCAAAAACACACGTGTGGCTGGATTGTACGTCTACTCTCCAGATGATCCCTGATCACGTCCACACAATAAGGGCTCATTAGACCCATGGCCATAACAAAAGGGTAGTGCACTCCTAAATAGGTAGGTCCCTGACCATACCCAAAAGTCATCATAGGATAAGTCCCTGACTACCCCTCCGACTAATCCAAACTCATCCATTAATTAATAATTTTAGTGAATTATGAAAGGTATTATTAATTAATAATTCAGATTAATAATTAATACACCCAAATACCATTTCAAATAAAAAAAACAGAACCTTAAAGACCCAACTAGTGAGAGTACAAAATTCCTAGACATAGCCTAACATTAGATATAATAAACCGCAAAAATTTAGAATCTAACTCTTAATAATTTTTCTGTACTCTCCCTTTTGGTGCTGAAAAATAATACTTTTTCATGTTTAAATTTCGTAAAACTAACAAATAGTCAATTAAAAATCTAGATTTCAGCACAAATAAGATCATTATACCTAAAACTAATATTCTGGAATTTAACACAATTTTTGAAATAACAGTACTATTTTCCATAATTTTCTAATGTAAAACTAATTAAATAATAATAATAATAGTTAAATGCATTATTTCAATTCAATACAACAGCACACTGTTCCACACCCACTGTCGCCGAGAATGGTTGAATCATAAAAGACACCAAAGTGGGTCTTCCTGCCCACAATCATATCTGTATCATTTTTCTCAACTATCTAGTCTGTTTTAGTTGATTCCCAACATTCACTATATATTATAGTGTCATAGGACTTTGTTTTGAAATATTACAGTGAATCTAAAACTTAAACTATACATTAATTTATGTATAAAATATATATATTCTAACAGCCTCTAATTCTCATTCAAAAAAGAAATATAATCACACCAAATCAGATTCTTATATATTCATTTATATATATATACATACATATACATATATATATATATATATATATATAATATATTATACAATATATACTCATATAAGAAATCAGTTTCACCAACTAGTGTATATAAGAAATCAGTTTCACCAACTAGTGTATTCAATTACACCTTGTATATATATATATATATATATATATCCGTACATATGCATTATTTCCACCAAGATGATTTCACATTCAATCATACACAAATAACTAATAGGTAACAATAACTTTAATATTATAAATGTTTAATTCCATACAATTTATTATTCATAATGCTGCCATCCTAAACTAACATGACCTTGATATACTGTAACCCATTAACACATGCTATAATGATTTATAAGTAATACACATAGATCAAGTCACAAATATATATAAGTGTACAAAGCAAGATTAACTTGCCTCAAATATCGTTTCACCTTCCTTTTCAGACTCGACTATTGAAATATAATTTCTCCTTCTTCTCTAGGAAATTTCTCAGTCACCGTCTACCTTCTGGCTACCACAGACGTCAACTTTAAATATCACTCTCAATATCTCACGCTTCTCTCTTCTTTTCTTTCTTTTTTTTTTTTTTTTTTTTTTTTTGTTTTACAAATAATATCTCTATAGAACTGATACGGCATGAGTTATAAAAGATAATTATAACTGTGGTTGAGATAGTTTAGAATTCTTTTTTTTTTTTTTTTTAAATTTAAATTTTAAAAACTCTAATATCTTTAATTTAACATTCAAATAATAAATAATAAATAATAAAATATAATATACAAAATTTAAGGGTTTTACACTAATTTTGGGGATCTTACTGATTTAAACAGTAGGTCATTAATGTTATTTATTTATTATTATTCTTACGAAATTTGTTTGCTCTAATAAAAAATGGTTTAGGCTTTCTGGTTCTAAGGAGGAAAGACTTTTTGGTTCTAAGGAGGGTAGAGGTCTGTGTTAGGGATTCTTGTTTGCAAGTGTCAAAGATTATTGTGAAACTTTTTGGTTCTAAGGAGGGAAAAGGTTTGTGTTAGAGATTCTTATTTGCGAGTGTCAAAGATTATTGTGAAATATTAGTGGGAGGCTAAGAATGTGGTGGTTAAGTTGTTTCTTTGTTTCAAAAAAGGCTTATATTAGGGACTTATCAGAAAAAAAAAAAAAAGGCTTATATTAGGGATAGAATGATTTTTGGCCCAGTGCTAATACAAGTGGAAATTTGGGTTTCCTTTGTGAACGAGAGAGAGGAAAATCATGTTAGAAAAAAGGGAAATTTATTGAAAAAGGCCTGTAAGCCATGGTACTTGATGAGGTTGCTTTCTTAACATGGATGGTTGGAGTAGATAAATGTTCCTTCTATGTTGGATGGATTTGGAGCTGTAGCTCCCTCAGCGGCTCTCTTTCGTTGGAAGTTGTTGCCTTGAATAAGGTTTGAGTTGCTTTCAGGACTGTGGATTAATGCTGGAAATAAGAATGATCGTGGTATTTTTTTTTCCTAATGATCAAGGTATTTGAAGGGGAAGTTGGGTTGCTAGTTGGTACTTAGAGAGAGAAACATGATGGTATTTTAATTTGTTGAACTCCCTGTGTTATGTATTTATCGAGGTATTACAAACATATTAGAATTCCACTTTTTGTCGATATTAGCATGTATTCTTTGACATAATGAGTATTGCATTTTTTCAGGGGTTGTGGTCGGGTCAAGCTGCCACACTTCTTCTGTTGCAGTGGGGATAGAGGAAACACAGGAGGACAGAATGCTTCAACGAGGTGATCCAGTTCATTGCTAAATGGCTGGCCGATATATTTCCAACATCGCACAAAAGATGCAGGTTTCATGACCTCTTTTGTAGAATTCAAATGGCAGTGTTGGTGGGAAATGTAGATTTTAAAAAAAAAAAAATTTGGGCGTGGAAGCTCATTTTTATTATTAAGTTCTCTGCTTAAGTGGTTTTCAATTGTGACGCTGAGTGCTGAAACAGAAGGATTTTAACTTTAAACAGGTTATGGATATAGTTTGGGAATGAAGCTCCAACCTATACTTTAGGAGCTAAATGCAGCCCTCCCCTTCTTTCTTTTTTCTTTTCTCTGGTGAGAAAAATGTCCGAACTTTCTTAGTACCAATCAGACTTGTCCATCTGTCACACAAATGTTGGAAAAAAAAAAAGACAACACGATTGCTGCCTAAAGCTATTGCCAAAAATGGCAAACTTTTTGGCCAGCCGTTGAGGGCTTGTTCTCACCCTTAATTGTCTAGATTGGAGTTCATATTCTTCCCACTATCATAATGGGGGAAAATATAACATATTTTTGAAAAAAAAAAATGAAAAAAGAAGAAGAAAAGAAGCAGCTATATCCTATGCCCAGATAAGGACAACAATGCTAGTCCAATATGTTTTTTCTAGGCCCAAATTGACCTTCATTTATGCACATCTATTCTCTTTGGGCCTCAAAACTCCCACAAAAGGGCCATCACAGCCCCACCAAAATATACAAAATGTGTGAATTGCAACGACAATGGAAAACACCCTGAAGATGGAAATTAATGCTATGTTTGGTTCGAGGGATGGATGAGAGGGAATAAAAGAAGTTTTTTTTTGTTCGGTTGAAGGGAAGGGAAAAGAGAGAGGAAGCAAGGAACTAATGCTATGTTTGGTTCGATGGATGGATTGAGGGGATGGATGAGAGAGGGAATAAAAGAAGTTTTTTATGTTCGGTTGAAGGGAAAGGAAAAGAGAGAGGAAGCTGGGAGGGATGTTCCTTCCTTTGTACTTTTTAATCCGCCCAAAGTTCTAGGGAAGTGGAGAGAGAAAATAAGATAATAACAAACAAGTTTTTAATTTCCATTTTTCACCTTCTTGTTGCATAATCTGGAATGGATATATATATATATATATATATTTTTTTATTTTTATTTTTTTGTAATTTTATATAATGAGGGTATATTAGTAAAAACAATATAAAAACTATTTTTTCCTTCCTTTCAACTAAACAAAAAAAATGTGTCACTACATCCATCCGTTTTACTATTCATTCCAACCAACCAAACAAAAAATGAAATAGACACCTTTCCTTCTCTACGGATGCTTCATTCATCATTTTCCTACGGATGCCTCATCCATCCCTTCCACTCTTTAACCAAATGAAACATAAAAAGTACTGTTAATGGAGAAAGTTCTTACTGGAAAAATGGGGAGAAAAGTAAGTAAAAAGAGGAGGGAAGTTAGGGCCTTGTTTTATGCGGACAAAGATCTTCTATGGACAAACCTTTTGTTGGAGCTTTCATCAGACAATAATACACGCTAAATCGTTTGAGGATATGACATTTTTATACTACCTCCGTCCCATAATAGAGTGGAGTTTTTAAGAGGATATGTAATTAATGCATTGTCCCCTTTTAAAATTACTAAATTTTTCTTTCTAATTTAAATATATATAATTATATAGTAATTTTTTAAAAAGATAAAGGACAATGATGGAAATATAAATGAAAGATGCTTTGATTTTTCAAAGAGTACAACTAATTTGGGATATGTAAAAATGAAATAATGAACTACTAATATGGAATGGAGAGAGCACTAAATTATTTGATGATGTGAGTTAGATAAACGGAGGATATATATATAAGGGTAAAAGAGCATTTTGGAAAGGAAGGCTAGAGAAAAAGATTTTTGTACTTTTCTATTTTCATAAAAAAAATTTAGTAATTATTTACCTAAAAAAAACTTTTAATAATTGGGTTATCAAGGAACTTTAATAAAAAATAAAAAAAATCAGTAAATTACTTTAGTCTAAATTTTGGTACGGCTAGCTTTAACGAAAGACATAGAATTGATTGAATTAGAGTTGATATAACGGAATTGAGTGGTTTAATTGGTGATAGGACAAGGTGAGGATAAAAACTTGTGCAACACATTACACAGGAAAAAAAATTATTATACCAGGATGTAGTTGTTGTATAAGTAATATGAATTATTGATGTGATGATTCAAGACATGACTCAAGATGTTGTGAGTCGGGCTGTCATTTGATTGGAATGTTTAACAAATGAAAATACACCACATAATGAAATTTGTCTTGCCATCTAATAAAAATTATACTGTAACAGTTAATTTGTTACTAATATACTTTTATTGGCCGAGTAATAATATCCTATATAACTCACCTTATATTAAAAAATTATTATATAATTCTGACTAAAAATTTCCGTACTCGTATAAATGATATTCAATACGCTGAATGCATCATGCACGGAACACATCATGATATGCACAATTTGTGCTGTAGATATTAATGATTGTTATGACCGGGACACGGGACGCATCGAATATCTTCACATTCGAGAATTAGGAAGAGCAACTATTTGTTTATGAGTGATATAAAACGTTAGTGGGCGTTACGTGTAAATATATAGATTGTATATTGCATGATGAAAGAATATGTATGGTGCCCTCGGGACTATCACATTATCATCACACATTAAATGAAACGACACGTGTTAATCAGAAGTGAACTCCACCGTCTCTTCGATGCATCTGAAAGAAAGATGTCATTGATTGGATAAAGCTGCACTTCTTCGGTGGTCTCGTGAGCACCCGATTCTGAACCTCACTAACTGAATTCCAGTATACAGAGGAGAGATTTCTGGACTACAAATTAAAACCTCACTACTCGTTACTCCCTATTTCACAACCAATTTTAGCTCAATTACTCTCTCTCTTTCTCTCTCTACACTCCTCGCCGAACTAGGTATTTCTTCTCTCTCTATATATATACATAAATACACGTATATGTATATCTGTATATATAAATATATATGTATATCTGTGTGTATGTTCAGTGTCTGTATATGTATTTGTTTCAGTAATGGAGTTCTTGTGATACATTCCTAAATTGTGTGTTTACATTTTAGGTTTTTTTTTTTTTTTTTTTTCATTGTTGTGTTCGGTTGAGTATGTATATGATATAATGTCTGTTACATATTTCTAGAGTTATCGCCACACAAAATTGCAATGTTTTACGTTGATGATGGATATTCAGTTGAATAGCTTTGATTCTCATTCTTATTTGTATACCGAGGGTTTAGTTTTAAAAAAGTAATTTTATTTAATTTTTAATTTTAATATATATATATATATATATATATATATATATATATATATATATATATATATATATATATATATATATAACATGGCGTTTGGGAAAATGTAGAGTAGAACTTGATTATAACTTTCCTTAATTTGAAGGCCCCTGTTAGACTATGCATTTTCACTTCAATTGCCATACCGGAGTCCGGACACTGGAATTTAAGGGGACAACCAAATGTAGCTTAGGATGCATTAATTTGGACATGCCCTTGAATTTGAATGTCTGCATTGCACTTTCTGTTAGACTGAAATTGTTTCAAAGTGGTTGACAGTCAATCGCATTGGTATTATTTGTAAAGGCTTGTCAAATAGGAGAAAGTATGCACTACCTGACTCTATGTTGTTTAATGTTTCAAAATTCTTCACTGACTTGCACATTTCGGTGAATATTAAATAACAGTGGATAGTGAAGTTCTAGGTTCCTGTACTTGCTGTTGTTCTAGCGATTTGTGACTTCAATAAAAAGATTATATGTGAACCTGCTTGCATAATTTTGTTAGAATAAGAAAATTTCCCCCTTTTTGTTACCAGAAAGTAACAAAAGGAATTAAGACTATGTTAACTTATAATTTGGTGCCAACAATTTGATTATAGCGATAAAGCAGTCATTTCATACTGAACGATTTATTTTATTTTTAATCATCTTTCTTAGCTTAAACTTCTCCTGTTTTCTTAGGAGAGACATACAAAGTCATTGTAAAGGAGAATTTAAGTAGAATGAAGTTTGGGAAAGAATTTAAAAAACAAATGGTGCCTGAGTGGACAGAAGCCTATATGGACTACAACGGACTCAAAAGAATACTACGTGAGATCTGGCACTTCAAACAGAGCAATCAACCCCCGACACCTTTGAGAACGTCACAGCAGAGATTAACAATGTACAGGGCTTTCAGTGGTCTAAATCTACCATCTATCAATCTTCAGACCGAGGGAGATATTGAGGACCAGGTGATTGCTGTTAACATGATGCAACAAGAGGATTCTAGAAAGGTTTACAACACTGAGATCCTCATGTCACCTGAAGAAGGAGCTGAGAACGAGATTATGTTCTTTAAAAAACTTGATGGTGAGCTCAACAAGGTCAATAGATTTTACAGGGATAAGGTGGAAGAAGTGATGAGTGAAGCAGCCTTGCTGAATAAGCAAATGGATGCTTTGATTGCACTGCGTATCAAGGTGGAGAAGCCTGATTTTGATGGCTCTAGTTCTCTGAGACGACTTTCTATGGATATTGCTAATACGGCACCCATAAGGATTACTTCGCCAAGCAGAGCTAGGACTCCAGGTAAGTGCATAACCACCTACCTTCTACATTGCTCATTACATAATTATAAATGATAGAGTTGAAGGTCTGTAAAGATTATATAAGATGTGAGCGTCCATAAAAGGGAAAATTAAATGGTGAAGAGATAGGAACAAGAAGTAAAAAATTTCCCCAAAAGTATCTTTTTCTGCTTAAAAAGGACTTTCAGTACTGGAATTGATCCATACATTTAGAATCTTGATTTGATGATCATTCTTGTTAGCATGTCTTTCTTTAGAGCATTAATGAGGATTAACCATGCAAAATCGATATAAATGGAATTATAATTTTTCAATAACCAACTGTTTAATGATTTTTGTTCTGGGTGTAGAATAAGAAATGAATTGCTTGTCGGGGTGAAGAAGTTGTACTACACTAGAAGACCATTATGAGGAGCATAGTAAAATAGCCTAAAAAACTTCTTGATCGTTTTCCACCAGGTCTCACCAAACTTGGTGATGATGTTCTGATCTGGACTCCGGAGTCATGATAGCCCATTCATGTAAAGATACTATCTTTATATTCTAGAATTCCATGCCATATGCAGGAATGGAGCATATGGATTTGAGTCTCGAAGTTGAGATGAACCATAAATGTTAGCTAGAATTGTACTTACCCTCCAAGTGGTGGTGCAGCTCTGATTCGTAATCATAATAATACAATTCTTCCACTTAGAAAGATTATTTTGGTTTCAAATTTCACTATTTCGTGCCATATGTGCAGGAAGAGAGCATATAAATTTGGAGCATCAAGTAGACATAAGTGGTAGTTGTCAACTAGAAGAGTGTGAAGGACAGATTGTAAATATCAGTCAATATAAACCAGCTCCCCTGGAAATCCTCGATCACGTGAAGATTAAAAATACACTTGAAAGTCCAATATCAACTATAAAGGGTGTTCTGAAGGATTCCAAGGAAAGAGATTTGAGTTTTAAAAAAGAGGAGCTAAGGCAAGTTGAAGAAAGGCTGAAACTTGTGTTTATTGAATTCTATCAGAAGATCCAACTTCTAAAGCACTACAGGTAGTAACCAGAAAATAATGCATCACTTCTATTCCAGAAATATATTCTTGGGTCTTTTCATACTTTATTTTCTTTTGCCCTTGACTTATCGATTATTCCATGTTTATTGTTTTGCAAATGAATGAACCAGTTTTATGAACCTCTCAGCATTTTCCAAGATCATGAAAAAGTATGAAAAGGTCAGACATTCTTTTAATGATCCAAATTCTTCTTTAGCTTCTTTAGTTTCACTTACATTGAATTGATTAGACAAGGAAAATCTTGAGTCTGAAAGTTGTCTTGGAACTTGTTACAGTTAATAGCTATAGACTTATGAAAAATGCTCCATCTAAAATTATATATTTGCATTTATGCAGATAACGTCAAGAAGTGCATCAAGATCATACATTAAAATAGTGGACAACTCTTACCTTGGCAGCTCGGAAGAGGTTCGTTTACACATTTCATTCACAAGTAGAAGGATAACATGGGTATGCCATATTTCTCCAATCTTAAATGAATATCATAAGAAAATACAGAAGAGGATATATTTATTCTCCAATCTTAAATGAATATCATAAGTAAATACAGAAGAGGATATATTTATTCTCCACTCTTAAATGAATATCATAAGAAAATACAGAAGAGGATATATTTACACTAAGGCAATGAAAAGCCAGAATTTTCCCTTCTTGTTTTCCTCTTAATATTTATAATAATATATACTTATGTTGTTTTATTGACATTCGAAATTAGGTTGTTGCCAATTTGTTGCGTATGTTGATGTAAGACAGACTACCATTTTTTCCATATCCTCCTTTTGCTTTGAGCAGAGGCGTAGCCAAGAATTCAGTCTAGAGGGGGCGACCTTAAATAATAATAGGATAAAGAACAATCAGCAAAATGAAAAATACAGAGACTTAGGGCCTGTTTGGCAACCGTTTTTGTTTCGTGTTGTGTTGCGGGTGTGTGCTATAGCAAAGCAGAACACCGCAACGCGTTTGGTAACTTTTGTTGCGATTTGAATAGTACCGCGTTTGTTGCCGAAAAGAGACCCAAATCGGGGAAAAAAAAATTGTTGTTTTTCTAATTTTTTGCACTGTAGCAAAACACTGTAGTGGTGAACAGTACCTTAAAAAAAACAAAAATAAAAAAAAAAAAAAAAAAACTGTAGGTGGCCTTTTTTAACTAGCCATTTCTTTCTCTATCTTGCAACACTTTTTTACCAAACATGTTTCATGTTTTTGCTTCTAAATTATTTTGCAACAAATTTTACTGTACCAAACATGCTTCAAATCACTATTAAACACACACCACAACAAAAATGTTGTCTCTGTTTCGGATGGAAACAGAAACGCAAAACAAAAAACGGTTGCCAAACAGGCTCTTAAATATTGATTGAAATATTCTCATCTAACAGTGTTACGGTAGTTAAATGAACGATATCAAAGAGTAGCAAATTACAGCATATGTAACTGCAGACAAAGGTTGATGTCTCCCCACGGCAGTATAGAGGGAAACAAGGAAGTATGAAAAATTACTTTTTAAATAAAATGTGTCTTGACCTTGGAAGACTGGGATGATGGAAGAACTTTTTGGTTTCGCAGACCCTTGTAGTTGAACAAGTTACTTGAAATGATGACTTTAAAAGAATCTTGAAACCAAAGATCATCTTCCCTCTGGGAGATAGGCACTTCTTGGGTTGCTGCCCATATTGTAGACTATAATTTGCCCCTCCTACCCAATTTATTAATTTATATCTCGTCAGCACCCAGAAAGCTATATGTTATTTGACCTGCAAAGATGTCTCCATAAATCTCAGTTGAACGATATATATAGCAATAGCTCATATGTTTCCTGGGTCCATGGATGTGTGAAGAAACTTACACAAAAGACCACATTCATTTAGAAAAGAAAATTATATTATTCAACATAACATATCTTATCGTGATATAATTTGTTTACCGCCATCTTAGGTTACTGGTCTCTTGGAGAGGGTGGAAGCTACCTTTATTAAGCACTTCTCAAACTCTAACCGCAGAGAAGGCATGAAGTTACTGAGGCCAAAACAAAAAAGAGAAAAGCACAGCATAACATTCTTTTCGGGTAAGTAATGTCAGTAATGACATATAACTCATAGTAATTAATTATAACATAATTCAGGAAAAATAATAATTGTAATATATCTTTTAATTTTAAATGTATTTTTGGGTTTGAATATCTGTATCTTTGCATATCTGTATCTTTGTCACTTTTTTAAGAACTGGGACTCCAAAAATAAATAAGTAAATAAATAGAAGGAAAAAGACGACTTTTTCTCATGGTTCAGAAGCATCCTTTAATTAACTTCTGTTCCCTTTATTTATTTTGTTATTTTGGGTAAGTAATTAACTTCTACTCCATTCTTAATATTTTTCAGGTTTCTTTTCTGGTTGCTCAATTGCTCTAGTAGTTGCTGTTGTGCTTCTAATAGAAGCTAGAAATATAATGGACATGGAGGAGGGCACTGTGTACATGGAAAACATTTTCCCCCTTTACAGGTAATAAGGACTTCTATAAACCTTCTCTTGTTTGAACACAAAGTACTTGAAAGAATATCTCTTCCATTTCATTTATTTGGCCTGTGCATTTTGCTGAAGAGATAGTTCATACTTTCTTACAGTTTATATGCATATATCGTCCTACATATGCTCTTGTACGCTGCAAACATATACTTCTGGAGGCGCTATCGAATCAACTATCCATTTATATTTGGTTTCAAGCAGGGAACTGAGTTAGGTTACCGGGAAGTCTTTCTCCTGAGCACTGGTCTTGCAGTACTTGCACTTGCCACATTCTTAACACACTTGCACATGAAAATGGACTCGAGAATTCATAATTATGCGACATATATTGAGCTGGTGCCTTTGGGCTTAGTTACTGTAAGATTTTAAACCTAGTTGAATTCTTCCCTTCTATTGCCTTGTATGGTCATTAAAATAGATCGCTGATATTTAAGACTCCATCCTTTCCTCATATATTTTCTATATGCAGGTTGTTCTTGTCATAACCATCTGGCCTTTTAACATTTTATACCGCTCGAGTCGCTACTTCTTAATCCAAAGTATTTTTCACTGTATATGTGCTCCTCTCTACAAGGTAATTAAATGAGAAGGGTTGCAACCTAAACAATGAGATGATTGTGTTTTGTTAAATAGTTATATTTCTTGATGTTCTTTCATTGCAGGTTACACTTCCAGACTTTTTCTTGGCAGACCAGCTTACTAGCCAGGTTTTACATTGGCCGAATGCAGTTGGTGGATTGTAAAGTACTAATAATCTATAGTTTTGGGTTTTGATAATGAGTGTTTCCTGCTGTTTAAATTAGGTCCAAGCCATAAGGAGTTTCGAGTTTTACATTTGCTACTATGGTTTAGGAGAATTCTCTCGGAGACGAAACAAGTGCCACAGTCATGATGCTTACAATGTTTTCTATTTCATAGTAGCTGTTATACCATACTGGATTCGATTCCTCCAGGTTTTGCCACATCTCTTCTTTTCCCTTCTTGCTAAGGCTGTCTTCTCTTGTCAATATATAATAGCACTGTACAAGGAGAACAATAAGGCTTATAATTATGCTCCTGACAGAATGGACCATCAAAGGAAAAATACATCACTAGCAATATTTATTGTAACTTTCTATTCATAACAATATGTATCAGTTGCAAGTTTATCATATTGTTGGAGTATAATGGAGTATAGCACTATGCTAACGTCTCTCTATGACTTGTACCACTGAAAACAGACCACAAAATCCATATTATTTGTTCCTAGTTGCTATTATAGACCATGCACTCAAGATGAGCGGCTTTCTTGTTTTGCCTTTATCATGGGTTTATGTTCACCAGCGATGACCTCTAACCTTAATCTTACTGTAAAACTCAATCTATTTACCAAAAAAGAAAAACTTATTAACTCAATATGTTGGACATGCATCCTTTTCGCTTTCTCTTCATAGCTTGCGTATTTTGATAATAATTTTGCACTCAATCCTCAATTTTCAATGTTGACCGACTTAAAAAAAAAAAAAAGGCACCTCATGTTAAGATTTATACTTGTGTTGAGTGTGGATCACTGTGGAGCATCTCAATCTGCCCATATTTTACTGCCCTGTGCCCATGCGACCACTTGCATACACAATGAAAGCATACCCAATGAACCTCCCTTGTATGTGCCCCAGCAAAAGCTAAGGGCAATGTGGCACTGCCATTCTTACCAAAAAGAAGTATGTAGCATTGCTGTGCACTCAAGTCTCTCTGTTTTATAGTTTTAGGATTATATCAAGGGAACTTTTTTTCAACAAAGCAAAGGATCCTTTCCACTTCTAGAATTTATTTGCATATTATAAAAGTTTCTGAAAGATTGTATATGTTTGTGTTGAAGTGCCTCCGCCGATTGTTTGAAGACAAAGATATGATGCATGGATACAATGGTTTGAGATACTTCTTGACAATCGTTGCCGTTATCATCAGAACGGCTTTCGAACAAAGAAAAGGGTTGACTTGGATGGTGTTAGCTTTGGTCAGTTCAGCTGTTGCAACAATAATGAATACTTATTGGGATATCATAGTTGACTGGGGGCTGCTACAACGGCAATCGAGAAACTTTCTCCTGAGAGATAAACTCTTAGTTTCGCAAAGAACTGTATACTTTGCAGCTATGGTATGTCAAGTGACTAACATCTGAGCATAATATGATTTCCAGCTGCCAATGCTGTCTATTTAATATATTCTGGGATCTTCTTACAGGTTTTGGATATTATACTGAGATTTGCTTGGCTGCAATTGATGGTGAAATTTAATGTGCGTTCCTTGCATGGAAAGGCGGTGTCAAGCATATTTTCCTTTCTAGAAATCCTCCGTCGTGGCATGTGGAACTTCTTCAGGTATTTTACCAAATTTACATAATGCATTCGTATTGCAGAGCCATTTTTGTTTCTTCAACACCTTCCCGACTGCAGCTATCCAATGAGCTTCTATGATTTGACAAGAAAGGAACAAAATAGTTTTACCTTTTTGAGTTTTGCTATTTTCTGATTATTCCCATTGCTAACCTATCCTTAGACAGTGTGCCCCACAAAATGGCAGTGGATGATACGGTTGTCGTTTCACCTTTGGAAGAAAATGGCAATTCCATGATCTACCTATTTTATTTTTTATGAAATGGCTATAAGGTTTGGTTGTATCATCAGATATAGCAGCTAATGATGGGTGACTTATCAACAATTGCAAATGTTATAGGGAGCTACACCAATGTACTTGTTTAGTTTTGTGTAACGAAATATATAGTGTTTGATCAGGTTGGAGAATGAGCACTTGAATAACGTTGGAAAGTACCGAGCATTCAAGTCAGTGCCATTTCCTTTCAATTACTATGATGAGGAGATCGACAAAGATGATTAGGGGTTGGTGCTCTCTTCTTCCAATCATACGGTAAAGCTATGAGAAAACTCCGGCCGCTTCAAGAATGATCTGCACTCTCAACGGTCATTATGAATTTCTGGTATCTGGTCTTTATACAAATTGCCATCTGCAGAGCCAAGAAGTTCTAAAAGTCTGGTGTCAAGGCATTCGACTGAGCATCTCTGGAATGGAGTGATAACGAAGCACGCGAAGTGACTGACTAACAGACAGAAAAGCCGATTTGATCTGAACTTTTAAGCCATCCAATTGTAGCACAAATTCTGATAAAGCTCAGATTTTTATTGCTTCATTCTTTTTTGATATAGAGAATCTGTAAAACAAAAACAAAAAACAAAAAAGGATAATGGAAAAAAATAGTTTTGATTTGGTTTTCTCAAGGATTGATTTGATTTGTTTTAGCCCACTCGTAAGTAAAAACTTGCACTCATGCTATGCTTAAACTTGGCCAAAAGTGACAAGGCACCAAACCCACCCAAGATCTTTTGAGCTTCAGAGGTTTAAGTAGCTGTTCATTTGATACTCAAAACTATTTTTTTTTCAATTTTTGTTGATTTTGATCCTTCCCATTTCCTTTCATTTCCCTCAATCTCAATTCGAGATAATGACCAATTTGGTAGAGGAATGGAAAGTGAATGGAATTGGAAAGGAAAGGAGAAAAAATGGGAGGATAATTTGCAGAGGTGGGTAGGGATGGCAACGGGGCGGGTTTGGAGCGGGTTTTTCTAAATCCTGCCCCGCCCCTTTTAATTTTTGTCAAGTCTATGCCCGCCCTGAGACCCGCGATGGGTTGGATTTTCATGTCCAACCCCGCCCCGTTGGGGAATATTGTGCCCCCGTGCCCGCCCCGCTAACAAATTTTTTTCTCCCATTTTTTGGAACTTAAGCTCCTGCTATTTAAATGTGGAAAGCCTGGGAATGACACAACATAAATGAAATTATGTATCCCAACAAAAATAAAAAAATAACATGCACATAACATAATTTAGAGAACATAATAAACAAAAATAAAAGTTTAATACAACCAAATCACAAGAAGTTCTAAGTTACAACTTCCACCATAACCAAAACAAAAGCAAATTTAATACCAAATTTACATCCCAAATTAGGATTCTAAGAGAGGAGTAACTGGGTAAGTCGCTAAAATAAGTTATTAATATTATATATATATATATATATAGTTATATGCTTAGCAGAGCGGGGCGGGGCCCCTAAGATATGTATACTGAACCCTTACCTGCCCTGTGATCCGCAACGGGTACAAAATTTGTATCTATACCCGCCTCAACGGTATAAAAAGTATTCTCATATTCTTTATTAAAGGGGCGGGAAGGGGCGGGGCGGTAAAAATTGACATCCCTAGAGGTGGGGATATCTTGTATTTATTACTCTTTCCATTTTGACAAGAGTGTCCTGCTTTGGAAATTGATTGTGAGTCACAGTTTCAGGAAGCTCTTGTTGGGACTTATTTTTGGAATAGAGGTGTATTTATTTAGTTGAGTGGAAGAAAAGAAATGTGTGACCCTACAATCTACTAGTAGATTTTGAATTTATTACTACACCACTCATTGTATAAATTAATTTATTTAGATTAAATATAATGTGCTACAAAAAATTTTAAACAAATAAAGATAATAAGTTTATCCCCTTAGTCACACATTGTTGTGCGAGAGTAAGAGCGACAAAATTTAAAATTTGATTACAGCAGTAGTGCTCCGACTCTTTTTGTCCGTATGACTCTTTAAGAGTGATTGTATCCTTATATGCTATTATTTGTCCGTATGTTAAAGACCATTCCATACATTGTATAATAATAAAAAAAGGAATTTTATAAGTACTAGAAAATGTTTCTTCTCATGTTTGGAATTGCATGATATTAGTAATAATTAAACTACAAAATTTATACTATATTTTTATTTTTAAATAAACGGGATAAATCTGTATATTTATTTTAGATTTGAAAGAGAGATTAAATTTTCGTCCATGACACGATTACTGATGGTACAGGAAATGAACCGGGCCACGTTCCTGCCGGTCCGCCAGGCCCAGAGCTTAGTTGGGCCATTGGTCCACATGCAGATCGACCAACCAGGCCCAGATCTCTATTGGACCATCTCAAGGCCTAATCTCGTCAGCATTATGAGAGGGTCTTCCATCCATTACGGCCCCAAGGGAAGACCCATCTAAGAGAGGCCCAGGCTTGAGAGTTGAGAGATAGATTTTAGGGCAAATGTACACTTCTATAAATATAAATTAAAGAGAAAAAGACGCATATTGTTTGGAGTGTAAAAAGAGACTTTCCCTAATAAAAAGAAAGGTTTCTTGCATCTTCAATTACTTTAAAGAATTATAAAATAATAAACTTCTTAGTTAAATAAAGTAAAATTAAAAAAGTATTTATATAATTAGTATGTAAATATTTATGTATACACGCACATTTAAATTTTTTTTAGTCATAAGTAATGAAACAAAAGTAATCAATATAAAATAGACATGACAAAGATTTATTGTTCTTCTTTAATATTGTGGGTTTATTCTTGGTTTGTATATTTTTAATTGTTTTTCTACTATATTAGTCTTATTCGTACATTTTGATAATTACCAATCATTAAGTTCGATGATTTACAAATTATTTAAGAATTAACGAACGAATTTATGCGCGAAGCCTAAGAGTGATAAGTGACAACGATAAATTTGTGACACTAATTCTTTATAAACTCATGTTTCTTTCTTCAAACAAATCATTCTTTATTAGAAAAGTGTTTATTTATTTATTTATTTTTAAAAAAGCATATATATATATATATATATTTTTTTTAAAAGCATATATTTTATTTTTGGTAAAATAGGTGTCTTATCTTCCAAGTTTTTTTTTTTTGTTTTTGGAAAGCAAGCCTCATATATATATATTCCAAGTTGCTTCAAAGAAATTTGTCAAAACTTGAAACATTAAAAAAGCGGAAGAATAGTCAGAGTCTCGCAGAGGGTTTAAGGAGGGGTTTAAGAGAGTCGGCCATGGGAGACCTTTTGTCCAAGCCTTCAACAAACCCTAGCGATTCAAATCTGAGCATCGACATGTCTGCCTCCCAGCCTTCGCAAACCCAAAAATCAAAACCAGATGAAGGAAACCCTAAACCCAAATCCCCAGAAACCCAAACCCCAATTCACGCTTCAGATCAACCAGCAGTGCAAGAAAAGGAAACCCTAGAATCCCAAACCCCCATTCATGCTTCAGATCAACCAGCAGTGCAAGAAAAGGAAACCCTAGAAGAAAGTCAAGGACAAAACGATTCAAAAAAGGATCAGGAAGGTGAATACGAAGAAGAAGGAGAGTGTGGGTTCTGCTTGTTCATGAAAGAAGGTGGATGCAGAGAAAGCTTCACTACTTGGGAAAACTGCGTCCAAGATGCCGAGAAGAAGAAAGAAGACATTATCGAGAAGTGTTCCGAGATGACTAGGATGTTGCATCAGTGTATGGAGGCTCATCAGGACTACTACGGGCCGCTTCTGGCGGCGGAGAAGGCGGCTGTTAAGGAATTGGAGAGAGAGAAAGGGAAAGAGGCGGATAAGAATGCGGAGGAGGAGGCTGTTAAGGAATTGGAGAGAGAGAAAGGGAAAGTGGCCTCTGCATCGTCGTCAGGTCAGCCGGAGCAGAATTCAGCTGACAAGGGTTCGGGATAGCAAATTTTTGAGGGGTCTTAATTTTGGGTTATGGGAAAAAATTGTTGTTTTGCTTTTCATGGTGATTCAAAGGTGGGGATGGAGGAAATTACTGAGCTTTTCTTAGGAAGACAGACTAACACAATTAGAATTGAATACGAAATACTTGCAATAACTATTCAATGACACATTGATCTTTTGACTAATTGAATGATTATCTCATTATATGTTTATTTGATTTGGCTTGGGAAATTTGGGTATCTATATGATGATGTGTGAATTGTGATGAATGTGAAAGGATTTTATGCTTTTGCAAGTTGAATTATGATGCATGATGCGAATCCTTTTTGAACCTAAATGGTGCATACAATGCGTGATTAGTTTTTTTTCTTAGGGAATATGGGAATGATTTCATTTTATGATTGTTATGGCAATATTGCTGGTTCTAGAAGCAGATTTAATAGTTAAATGGGGATTTGGTCTTTCATATGGGATTGTAAATTACGTATTGGACAATCTCTATTGTGTGCTCCATGACCGGAGATCACAGGGGTTCAATCAATTGGGAGCTTGGGTACATGTTAAAATAGATTGATTCGGCTATAAAAAATGCTGATTTTTATTATTATCCACTTTTGGTTGGTTAACAATTTCATTGGGCTGTTTGATCACCATTCTGTTTTCTATTTCCCTTGTCTGATAGCCTTTACCCTTCTTTAACCCGTAGGCACTGATACCCTCAATGAAAAAAGTAGTATGATCTTCGGAGCAAGAGGAAGCTTATCTTTTTAGTAATATTGTGTTAGTTTTCAATTTTTTCCCTGCTGGTTAAAGAGACTTTAGTTTGTTAAAATATAGTTAAGTATTGTTCCTTCATGACCGGATCAATTCAATCAGGCACTTACCATCTATGTTCATTGTTCAACTCCTTGACAACATATATTCTCGTTGTTCAACTCCTTGGCAACAAGAAATAATCATCTTTCAACGCTTTGACTACATGAAAGACCCCAAAGCTCTACCCTCCCTCTCCAAGGGATGGAAAGGCAAAGGCCTTTGGGATTAATTCATCTCTAAGTATATCAGGTTGATAAATGAAATGGTCTTATCCTTATTTTCTTGAAACACTGGTCCAAGGTCAGAAGCCCGTTTCTTGGTAAACCTCTTAAGGATCTTAGAAAAACCCATTTCTGAAGTGTTTCCGTGTGATTTAAAAAGGGCAATTGAAGAGGTGGAAACACATACTGTTGCCTTTTTTTTTTTAAAGGTATCATGCCCATTTCTCTTTCTCAAATAGTAACTGGGGTTTTATCTATCTTGCTTGTTAAGGGTTTCGGTTACTATTTGGTGCCGGGATTGAATTGCCTTAATAGAAAGGGCAATTGAAGAGGTGGAAGGGGGGTGGAAATAGAACTAGCAAAGGTGGAACTGTAACGACCCTAACTGATGCCAAGAATTTTTTTTTTTTTAAAAAAAATTCGGCATAATCTCCCCTAAAAATGGACCTACCGCAACCTGTTTAAATGCATATTTAATCTGTCATGCAACTAATTTCCGAATTCACGGCTACAAAAGATAATGATACAACCTACTAATCTAGACAATGCTTCAAGCTAGGATTATCCTTCCATTCATCAACAAGTTACATATCATCAAGTTCGCATCCCATATGTCATCAAGTATCATAAGTGTATTACATGATCATGGTTCTTCAAAAGAAATTTACATCATTACACCTTTGGAATTTTACAAAAATGAGGGATGAACAAAGGAGTGATCTATTACAAAATAACAAGGAAAATGCTCCTCTAGCAACTTTCAAAGTTGGGGTGGATTGTCGTCCACCGGTTCTTTTCCAAGATCTGAAAAAAAATATATAGATATAGGGGTGAGCATATAGCTCAGCAGAGACACTTAAGACACAATTCTTGTGTCCTAGTGAATCCAATCAAAGCATAGGCCAATGGGAGATAGGGGTCATACAACATAGGGGATCAAATACAACATACAAGTCAATTCCAAGTATAAACAATGCAATGCAATGAAATGAAATGCAATGCATGTCAATGACACTCCCCATTCTCATTCTCAAAATCATCACTTTCAAACGTTAATACAGCCCGCCCTTTGGTAACCCCGCCGCGACACGAGAGGAGGATTGGCTAGTGTCCCTGACCCTTGGTAACCCCGCGACGTCATTATGGGGCCCAGCTAGCTCAACCACGCTAGGGCGACTCCTTAGTCCCCTCTAGGCTATATTAACCTCCGACCCGTTGGTAACCCCGCAGCGACCGGGTTTATCAAAACCAATTTTTCCAAACACATCACCCAAAATTCCCATTTTTCTTTTCAAACACCAACATCCCTTCCTATGCAACCCAATAAAATGTATGTATCTTACATGATGTCAATACAATGATAAATGGGAATTTAACACTCTACAACAAGTACCATTTCATATAACATTATAGTATGCTTGTAAAATAATAATCATGATAGAAACTCACTATATGAACATGCTATCCATTCAATCAAGTAACACATATTCACATAACATGGCATATTCTCAAATATCTCAGTTTAAACAAGAATCAAAGCAATCAAACATGCTGTAACACAATTAGAAGAGCATGATTCAATATGGAACAAGATTTCATGGCTTAAGATGTCCCTACCTCAAGATTGCACCAAAACCCTAGAAAATGGGTCCTCAAATTCGAGCTCCCAAAGAGGACCAAAAGCTGAAATTTCTGATATTGGCATGTAGGGCTCGTCGTGCTCGTCGTTTTGCCTCAAACGGCACCTAAATCCGGCAAGGATTGAGAGAGTAATCAAGGGTTAAAGCTTGAAGTGAAAAAAAAGAAAAAAGAAAAAAGAGAAGGAGCCGAGAGACAAATAGAGAGATGGACGTGAGAGAGAGAAGATGAGGTTACAGTGAAAAAAAAAAAAAACATGGTCTTAACATTTGTGGGTTCCACTTTTTTTTTTTAACTTTTCTTAATACACACCGCACACACAGACATATATATATATAAAGGCACAAACATTACACTCTCCCCAACTTTAAAAGATTTCGTTCCCGAAATCAAGACATACTTGAGGAAGAAAACAATTCTGGATACTTGGAGCGAACCTCCTGTTCAAGCTCCCAAGTAGCTTCCTCGACTCCGTGGTGTCTCCAAAGGACTTTCACCATTGGTATCGTCTTGTTCCTCAACACCTTCTGTTGTGTGTCAAGAATCTGAACTGGTCCTTCCTCGTAGGAAACATCCTCATCAATGTCCACATCTACCCAACTCAAAATGTGAGATGGATCCGGTTCGTACTTTCGTAACATCGATACATGAAAAATATTGTGGACCTTATCCAACTGTGGTGGCAAAGCAAGCCTGTAGGTAACCTCTCCTACTCGGTCCAAAATCTCAAACGGTCCAATAAATCGTGGCGACAACTTGCCACTTTTCCCGAATCTCATCAATCCTTTCCGTGGAGAAACCTGTAGAAAAACATGGTCTCCCACCTCAAAGGATAACGGCCGTCTCCGCTTATCCGCATAACTCTTCTATCGGCTCTGAGCTGTAAGTAACCTCTGTCTTATCAACTTAATCTTCTCAGTAGTCTCGAGTACAATGTCGGGTCCTAAGGCGGCTGTCTCACCTACCTCAGTCCAACAAACAGGAGACCTATAAGGTCTACCATACAACGCCTCAAATGGAGCCATCTGGATGCTCGCCTGATAACTGTTGTTGTAGGCAAACTCAATAAGTGGAAGGTGATCCTCCCAACTACCTCCCAAATCAAGTACACATGCTCGAAGCATATCCTCCAAAATCTGGATAGCACGCTCTGACTGACCATCTGTTTGTAGATGGAATGCGGTACTAAGATGCAACGCTGAACCAAACACTGCTTGAAGTCCTTCCCAGAACTTCGAAGTGAACTTGGCATCCCTATCTGAAACAATGGTTACTGGAACTCCATGCAACCTTACAATCTCTTTCACATAAAGTACACCAAGCTTCTCTGCATCGTCTGTTGCCTTAATAGGCAAAAAGTGAGCCGTCTTGGTCAATCTGTCAATGATGACCCATACGGCCTCATTGCCCCTCCGTGACCTTAGAAAACCTGTCACAAAATCCATAGCAATATGCTCCCATTTCCATTGCGCTACAGGTAATGGTGCAACAAACCTGCTGGCCTCTGATGCTCGGCCTTCACCTGTTGACAGGTAAGGCATCTAGCCATAAACTGTGCAACATCATTCTTCATCCCGCTCCACCAATACTGACATCTCAAATTGTGATACATTTTAGTACCACCTGGATGAACTGCAAAACGGGAAGTGTGAAACTCCCGTAGGACATCCTCACGACAAACTGTGGGAACCACCAACAAACCCCTGAACCGTAGACCCCCATCTGCATACAAGGCCCAATCTTTCATTGTCTCACCACTGGAGATCAAAGCGTGAATGGCATCTAAATCCGGGTCCTGTCTCTGTGACTTAATCACTTGTACAACAAGAGTAGGCTGAGCCACAAAACTAAATAAAAATGCCGACTCACTGCAACCATCATCATCAAAACACTGTAATCCCATCTCTGCCAGGTCTTCAAGCATCTTCCACTTCCGAATAGCTAAACTGGCCAAAGTTCCACGAGATTTCCGGCTTAAGGCATCCGCTACCACATTCGCCTTGCCCGGATGATACTGTAAGTCAAAATTGTAGTCCTCCAAGAATTCGACCCATCGCCTCTATCTGTTGTTCAAGTCCTTTTGGGAGAAAAGGTACTTGAGACTTTTGTGATCTGAAAATACCTCGAATCTCTCACCATACAAGTAATGTCTCCAATACTTCAAGGCAAATACAACTGCCGCTAACTCCAGGTCATGAGTAGGGTAGTTGTACTCGTGAGTCTTCAACTGTCGAGACCCATAAGGCACTACTCTACCATCCTGCATCAACACACATCCCAACCCGTCACGTGAAGCATCACAATAAATCACATAACCCAAGCCACGCTCAGGTATCACCAACACTGGAGCTGTAGTCAATCTCGTCTTCAACTCCTGAAAAGATGAATCACAGGCCTCATTCCAGACAAACTTGACCCCTTTCCGGGTCAAACGGGTCATAGGAGCTGCCAAACGGGAGAAATCCTTCACAAATCTCCGATAGTAACCCGCTAAACCAAGGAAACTGCGGATCTCAAACACATTCTTGGGTCGCTCCCAAGTCAAAACTACTTCAACCTTTGATGGATCAACTGATACTCCACCTTCTGAAACAACATGCCCCAAAAACTTCACCTCCTGTAGCCAAAACTCACATTTCTCGTATTTGGCATACAATCGGTGCTCCCGCAAAATCTGTAAAACAATACTCAAATGGACCTCGTGATCTTCCCGAGTCCGTGAGTACACAAGAATGTCATCCACGAAAACTACCACAAACTGGTCCAAGTAATCGTGAAAGACGCGGTTCATCAAGTCCATGAATGCCGCTGGCGCATTAGTCAAGCCAAAAGGCATAACAAGGAACTCATAGTGTCCATACCGTGTACGGAATGCTGTCTTCAGGATATCCTCATCCCTAACCCGCAACTGATAATAGCCAGACCTCAAGTCAATCTTCGAGAAACAACTGGCTCCTCTCAACTGATCAAATAAATCATCTATTCTTGGCAAATGATACTTGTTCTTGATGGTGGCATGATTCAACTTTCGATAATCAATGCACAACCTCAACGAACCATCTTTCTTTTTAGCAAACAAGACCGGTGCGCCCCACGGTGACACACTCGGTCGGATGAAACCTTTCATCCTCAAATCATCAAGCTACCTCTTCAATTCTTCCAATTCAACTGGTGCCATACGATACGGTGCCATAGAAATTGGCGCAGTACCATGCATCAAATCAATAGTGAACTCCACTTCTCGGTGTGGAGGCAACTCTGTCAAATCTTCTGGAAAAACATCCAAGAAGTCACAAACAATCGCCGGATAAACTTCTCCCACAACATCATCTTCTTTGGCTAGAAGACTAGCTAAGAAATAATCACCATGACTTCGTCCACGAACTCCATAAAACGATGAAATGTGGGAATCACTCCGATCTCCCACGAAAAAGAAACAGTCTCCCTCGGAAGTGCAAACTGTAACCCTTCCTCTGTAACAGTCGATCGTGGCATGAAATGAAGCCAACCAATCCATCCCGAGAATGACATCAAAGCTAGTCATCTCCAGGAGGATAAGGTCAAACACGAAAGTCCGCCCGACTATCACAATGGGACACTCCCGCACAATTCGGCTCAAAGACACTGAAACCCCAACTGGCGTATCAACACATAACGCCCGATCCATGAAACTAACCTCTAACCCCGATGCAAGTGCAAATGATGATGAAATGAAAGAATGAGATACACCAGAGTCAAACAAAACACGGGCCCAACAACCAAACACTGGAAATATACCTCGAAGAACTGACGGTCCAGGAGATGCATCGGTCTGTGCCAGTGCAAAAACACGTCCTTGTGGTACCTGTGCCTGAGGACTGCCAACCTGAACACCTGACTGCTGCACTGACATAGTAGGAGTATCCCTCCTAACTGATCGTGAACCCTGTGAAGACATAGAAGGCTGTAGTGGTGGTGGTCTGAAACTTGACTGAACTGTAGCCGACTGTGACGGCCTCTGCTGTGACCCTTTGCCACTAATGGTGCCTGCTCTCTGACTCGGACAATCACGAATCAAGTGACCCTGCTGGCCACACCCATAACAAGCCTTCGGAGCTGACGAAACTGAAGACGATCTCATCGGACAACTGGACTTGTAATGTCCGGGCTGCTGACACTGATAACAAACAACTGCACTCCTGTCAGATCCAGCTGGCATAGGAGTGGTAGGAGCAGATCTTGTAGACTGTTGCCCCTGAAACTGAGATGGATTGCCTCTGTTCCTTTTCCAAGAAGATCCCTCTGAGGATGGCCCTGCACCCCTCTTTTGCTTCAATTGCTCTCTTCTTGCATCATTCTCTCTATTGTCAGCCTCCAGCATCAAAGCCCTTTCCACTGCTTCAGAGTAAACCTTAATAAACTGTGCCGTGATCAACGGCCTCATTCGATCATTAAGACCCGAGACAAACTTCCGAGTCTTGTTAGCTTCATCTCTCACCACTTCTGGAGCAAAACGGGAGAGTGAGGTGAACTTGTTCTCATACTTCGCCACTGACATGTTCCCTTGAATAAGATTATGAAACTGCTCTTGTAACTCCCATCTTTTGGAAAGCGGAAAGTACTTCTCATAAAACAGTTCCTTGAACCTGTCCCAACTCATCTCTTCAATCTTGTACTGGTTAGTGATCGACTTCCACCAAACCTTGGCATCCATAGCAAACTTGTAAGTTGCTAGGATGATCTTCAAGTGATCCTCTGTCACATCCATTGAGGTCAACTGAGTTTCGACTTGATCCATGTAGTTGTCGGCTACCATTGGATCCGCACTGCCCTCAAACATTACTGGCATCAACTGAGAAAACCCCTTAATGATCTTGAGACGCTTCTGAGCTGGAGTCTCCTCAACTCAAACTGTAGGTTGTGGTACCAACTACGGATTAGCAACAATCGTTGCCCTCACGACATTTTGCAACAAACGATTAAACTCCAGTGCCATAGAACCTTCACCCACTTCTACGGGTACGGGTGTTTCAACATTCTCTCTTCTTGGGGGAACAGCTCTTGGGAGAATCAAGTCCCGAAGAAGCATGTTCTCATCAACTGGCTCCGCCGGATTGGAGCTAGAGCTCTCACCAACATCGCCCCTTGTTGGCCTAGGGCCAACTTCTCTAGGTTCCTCACGCCGTGACATCGTGCTATAAAACGAGAAAACGATTCAGAAACATGACACTAAGGTCCACTGTGGACGACTCAACAAGAATTAATACCGTACAACACTTAGCATGCAAGACTATGCAAGAAACATTTTAACATAAACAAGTAAGCAAGTAAGCACATAGGCAGTTAAGCATGCTCATTTAAATAAGATACCACGTAGCAAGTAGTCAAGTAAGCAACACAAACAACATTCCATGCGACTCTATGTAGGCCTCTACCCGTCATCCTAAAGGTTTTCGAACCTTGGCTCTGATACCAAATTTGTAACGACCCTAACTGATGCCAAGAATTTTTTTTTTTTTTTAAAAAAAAATTCGGCATAACCTCCCCTAAAAATGGACCTACCGCAACCTGTTTAAATGCATATTTAACCTGTCATGCAACTAATTTCCGAATTCACGGCTACAAAAGATAATGATACAACCTACTAATCTAGACAATGCTTCAAGCTAGGATTATCCTTCCATTCATCAACAAGTTACATATCATCAAGTTCGCATCCCATATGTCATCAAGTATCATAAGTGTATTACATGATCATGGTTCTTCAAAAGAAATTTACATCATTACACCTTTGGAATTTTACAAAAATGAGGGATGAACAAAGGAGTGATCTATTACAAAATAACAAGGAAAATGCTCCTCTAGCAACTTTCAAAGTTAGGGTGGATTGTCGTCCACCGGTTCTTTTCCAAGACCTGAAAAAAAATATATAGATATAGGGGTGAGCATATAGCTCAGCAGAGACACTTAAGACACAATTCTTGTGTCCTAGTGAATCCAATCAAAGCATAGGCCAATGGGAGATAGGGATCATACAACATAGGGGATCAAATACAACATACAAGTCAATTCCAAGTATAAACAATGCAATGCAATGAAATGAAATGCAATGCATGTCAATGACACTCCCCATTCTCATTCTCAAAATCATCACTTTCAAACGTTAATACAGCCCGCCCTTTGGTAACCCCGCCGCGACACGAGAGGAGGATTGGCTAGTGTCCCTGACCCTTGGTAACCCCGCGGCGTCATTATGGGGCCCAGCTAGCTCAACCATGCTAGGGCGACTCCGTAGTCCCCTCTAGGCTATATTAACCTCCGGCCCGTTAGTAACCCCGCAGCGACCGGGTTTATCAAAACCAATTTTTCCAAACACATCACCCAAAATTCCCATTTTTCTTTTCAAACACCAACATCCCTTCCTATGCAACCCAATAAAATGTATGTATCTTACATGATGTCAATACAATGATAAATGGGAATTTAACACTCTACAACAAGTACCATTTCATATAACATTATAGCATGCTTGTAGAATAATAATCATGATAGAAACTCACTATATGAACATGCTATCCATTCAATCAAGTAACACATATTCACATAACATGGCATATTCTCAAATATCTCAGTTTAAACAAGAATCAAAGCAATCAAACATGCTGTAACACAATTAGAAGAGCATGATTCAATATGGAACAAGATTTCATGGCTTAAGATGTCCCTACCTCAAGATTGCACCAAAACCCTAGAAAATGGGTCCTCAAATTCGAGCTCCCAAAGAGGACCAAAAGCTAGAATTTCTGATACTGGCACATAGGGCTCGTCGTGCTCGTCGTTTTACCTCAAACGGCACCTAAATCCGGCAAGGATTGAGAGAGTAATCAAGGGTTAAAGCTTGAAGTGAAAAAAAAGAAAAAAGAAAAAAGAGAAGGAGCCGAGAGACAAACAGAGAGATGGACGCGAGAGAGAGAAGATGAGGTTACAGTGAAAAAAAAAAAAAAAACAAGGTCTTAACATTTGTGGGTTCCACTTTTTTTTTTTAACATTTCTTTTCTCTTTTTCTTTTTTTTCTTAATACACACCACACACACAGACATATATATATATATAAAGGCACAAACATTACAGGAACTTTGTCTCTGAGATGTCGATATGATCTCTAATTTATATAGCATACCACAAGGGAATAAGATGAGTAGTTCAGGGTAGAAACTGGTACTCTTTGGCTTAGGGTTGGCAGAATCTATGCTGAGCCTGTGGACCTCCTTGGTCTAACTTGGTATGCAGTACATCCCAAAGCCAAGTGTGTCTGTGCGACTCAAGGTTATAATCATAAAGCTAAATCAGTGGGGTAGGCTTAAAATATATATTAAGACAGCTTTGGGAACTTGTCGTTGCTGACGAGTGCAATAGTTACCAGTTTAATTATGACATAGCTGAACTTGGCATCCAATGCTAGTTTCTTGATGATAAATTCTCCTGCATTTATGTAGAGATCTTGACAGGAGAAACTAAAGAGTTAATGTTTTTCACTCTTTCCAGTGGGACAAGATGAAGTAATGTGCTAGTCTTCCTACACAGCTTTTAGTCAAGTCACCCAACCCACCCTTCTTGTCGACCATAAACAGCTCATTTTCATGTGTACATATATGTATGCATTCCCGCATGGCCCCTTTCTGGTTTCAACCCTTCCATCTCCCTTTTGGCCACCACGATGTTTGATACGCTCTGATTCACATCATATAAAGAACGTGTTATAGCAAAATTCTAAATTGATGGTAAACAAGTGGTAAAACCAAAAAAACAAAAAAAAAAAAAAAATTGGGTGAGCCTATACAACCCAAACACACGCATACACACACACACGCACTCACACAAGGAATAATGGGGAATTGAATTCACTTCTTCTCACTATCAGGTTCTAAATTTGAAAGAATCCACTCAAACAATTGGAAAAAGAATGGCTACATTCACAGACATGCTTATTTAGCATTGCTTGACTTTCTTCTTCATCTTTTCTTTGTACACTCCTCTATTTGGTGGGTTCTTTGACACTACTCTGAAACTCTACTCATCTTTGTTCTCATCTTCATCATAGTTGAAAGGTAGCAGTACTGACTTGAATGCGCGATACTTGCCAACATTATTTAGATGTTCATATTCCAATCTGATTGATCAACCAAATGAAACAATCATCAATAAAAAGAGAATCAATTAGGGCTAGGCACTCTGCATCAAGTCCTGTTAGACTGTCAGTCTCTGGTTCATTGGAAAAAAAATTGGGAAGTCTTATAAACCAAAATAATCAAAATCATGGTTTTAGCATTAAATTACCTGAAGAAGTTCCACATGCCACGACGAAAGATCTCAAGGACAGCAACAAGTGCGAGTAAGGTTTCTCTATGCAGAAAAGGAACTCTGAAATTTAACACCGTTTGCAGCCAGGCAAATCTCAACAGTACATTCAAGACCTGCATATTTCAACAACTATGTTAGAATTTTCATTTTTCACTGAACTTGGTTCTTTCGTTGACACACCAAACAGTGAATCTCATTGTTAATTCTTCTGCTCACCATGGCTCCGAAATACACACTTTTATGGGGGATAAGGAGCTTGTCTCTCAACCAACGGTTCTCAGAATTCGGTTGTAAAAGCCCCCAATCCTTAACGAGGTCCCAATATGTACCGAAGATTGCTGCAGTGGCTGAGAAAATCCAGGCTGCTATCTTCCAACTCATGCCTTTGTCAAGAGTGTATGCTGTTCTTGTACTTACGGCTAGAATTGTTGAGAAATATTTTAACCCATTGAGTCCTTGCATAGCATCTTTCTCTTCATAAAAGCGCCTGAGGCACTGAAAAGAAAACAAACTGTTTCAGGCACCTTTGATAGCATGTAGACTACAATAGACAACTTCCTAGTTACAATGCTTAGTAGTTCGTACTTGAAATTGTATAACAAACTTGCAGTTAATTTGGCAAGAACAGATCAAGTTTGATTGTTTCTAGTCATCTTCAGAAGTAACCCGCATACACACCTTCAGGTTGGAATGAAATAAGTAATGGGGGACGTACCTGAAGTAGACGCGACCAATATGGAATGGCAGCAACTATGAAATAGAAAGCTTTGAAAACATCATTTGTTTTGCAACTGTTTTCTCTGAGTTTGTAGTCTCCCCAACCATAGTAGCAAACATAGAACTCCAGACTTCTGAATGCTTGCACCTGCAGTGACACAAGAATTGACACTTGGAACTATTTCAAACAAGAGGTCGCGTGCAATTGAAGCTTAGCAGAACATAGGCCATTTACACACCTGACTAGTTAGTTGATCCGCCAAGAAAAAATCAGGAAGTGACACCTGCAGAGGAAAGGAAATCACTGCTTAGAAATTGGCTCGGAATCTTGAACCTTTTGCTGAAAAGACTGCCACCATCTTTTTACCTTGTAGAGAGGGGCACAGATGCAGTGAAACACACATGTTAGTAAGAAGAAGCGACTTGATCGGTATATGATATTGAAGGGGCAAAGCAATATGATGATTACGAGCTGCAGGAAATGAGAAAAGTTCAGTTTAGCACAGTTTTTAAGTGGGACAATGTGAAAAGTCGAGTGAATTTAGTTAATTACTTAGTACTTACCATCACTAATCCCAGAGGGACGAGTTCTGTGATTGCTTTGTAATCGAGTGTTTGTGGATCCATTTCCATATCAAGGTTTGCGAGCACACTGGCAAGTGCTAGTACTGAAAAACCGGAACTCAGGAGGAGAACTTCTCGATAGCCCAAGTCAGTTCCTTCCTTGAAACCAAATATGAATGAATAATTGACTCGGTAACGCCTCCAGAAGTATATGTTTGCAGCATACATAACCATGTGAAGTATAATGAATCCAAACAAGCTGCAAAAGTAGTTGAGGATTGTATTATTAGTGTTGGTAATGGAGAAGTGGCTAATAAGAACACAGGAAAAAAGGTCAATAATTACCTGTAAAGGGGAAACATAGTTTCCATGTATTGGGTTCTTCCTTCCTTGTCAAGAATATCGCGTGCACGTATAATCAGAGCAAGCGCCAGTATGAGGGCTACTGTGCAGCCAGCAAAGAAGCCTGAAAATTTTCCGACGTACAAAGATTCAAGGGAAGGTAGATAACAGAGAGAATTTTCCTATACAAACCATATAAGAATTGTGGATCCTTTTAGAGTAGAAATCTTACCCAAGGAAAATGTTACTCCATGTCTTTCTTTCTTTGCTCTTGGTCTTAAGATACTCATTCCTTCAGTGCGATTTGAGTTGGTGAAATGTTTGATGAATGCAGTTTCAGCCCTCTCCATAAGCATAGCGACCTATAATGGCACAAAACAGATCATGAAAGTTAGTCATTTGAACTGCGAGGCACTGGACTAATTGATTCTTATGTAACACACACACACACACAGAGTAACCTATAGTGGAGTACTATAGCTTGAAGACTAGTCTTCGTTTATATTGATGGAATTGGAAGGAAAAGAAACAGAGGAATAACTATTGTTATATAGCCTGAACTAATGAATGATTAAACTTTCTTTTCTTTTCTTTCCTTTCTTTTCTTTTCTATCCTACTTATCCAAACGAAAGTTTGAACCTCTTTGGTGTAGAGGCCTATCCTTTACTTAATAAATAATTTACCTCGTCAGAGCTTCCGAGGTAGGAGTTGTCCACCATCTTCAAGTATTGCTTTGATGCATTTCTTGAACTTATCTGCAATAGAGAATACATAGGATCATTTCAACAAAACTTGCTATAACTAGAGCAAATGTAAGGATTGTTGAGATGGAATGAAACATCTGAGTTTTCGATCAGCAATGTATACCTTATCATATTTCTTCGTGATCTTCGAACATGCCAACATATTCAAGAAGCTGTTTATTGATTAGCAGAAGAATCAAATATATAATTAGTCCAGAGAGGGTGGCAAAAAAAAACTAATTAACCGAACTTTATGATTGAAAAATCTGTTACCTGAAGCTCTTAAGAAGCCGAAGCTTTTGATAGAATTCGATGAAAGCCTGCTTAAGTTGTTCTTCCGCTTTCTTTAGATTTTCCCTATTGAAATTCAGTTTTGTCTGATGAGGAACATTGAGGAAAGCTTTGAGGGTGGAACGCGGAGTCTCAAGAGTGTTGTTAATTTTCACATTGTTAAGTATTTCTAATGGAGCTAGTCTATTGACCCTGTTGATGTTTGGCTTCTGTTCTTCAACATTTTGGTCGACTCTTTTCACCTCTACTTCTTTATCGTCACCGGATTCGTCTGATTGCCCTTGCCTGCTCAACTTATCTTCTTCTAATATATCCATGAAAGTTCTTCCTGCACATTAAGTATATCCATGAATTTTTGAAAGGCTAATATTTTGGTTAATTCTAGATCACCTTTTTGTGTAAAGCAAGCACTTGGTCAAGAAAGAGAAAATTATTAGCAACAAGAAAGGAGAAGGTCTGCATTTGAGCAGAGCAGAGCCAAAAGATCGGGCTATTCGAGCTCAGCTCAAGGGAGAATGGATCCCCAGCTCATTCTCGAGCTAAAAAAGGGCTAGTCCAGAGGATTCCGCCATGTGAAATTTGAAAAAGGTTTGACGTGCATAGTCTTATCTTTGCATGCGGAAAGGCTTTTTCTTGATTAGCACCCGTGACATCCAGCCAGCTCGTTTTGGAGCTGGAATACAAATTCTAGCTTTATTGATTAGAAAATAAATGGTTAACTACAAGTCCAAACAAGATATGAGTTCTAACTAGTAAATTCTGGCACAAACATGTTCGCGAGTGTAACAAGTCAAGTCAAGCATTATTCGAACATAAGTTACACAATTATTCTCAATGGATGCCGCTCTCATGCTCAGAGCATGCTCCCGCTCTCATGCCCTGCGGCCAAGCACAGACCCAACATAGGACCAACTCCCACTGGATTTTTTCTATTTTTATTTTGTAACTCAATTTTTTTGAAATTTATTAAGATGCCTCCACTAAAATTATAATTTGCCCCCACTGGAAATTTATTTTATTTTCATTTTTTTTTTTCATTTTATACTTCAATTTTTTTAGAATTTTTGAAGATGCCCCAACTAAAATTACAATTCACCCTCACTGAATTTTTTTTTTTTTCATTTTATACTTTAAATTTTTAAAAATTTATGAAAAAACTCATTGAAATTACAAAAATAAACCCACTATATAAATTTGCCCCCCACAAATTAAAAGATCGCCTTTCTCACAAATTTTTTTGGGTCCGTCATTGTCCACGGCGCTCTCGCTCTCATTCTCTGTGTGACTTATATTTTGTGACTTTGGCTTTCTCGCTCTTGAATTCGCTTTCTCTCCCACTCCATGTTACTTAGATTCAGACTAGACTTGTTTATTTAACAAATAAATGCGAACCTGTGTTTTCAGGTTAATAAGTTTAAATTATGAAATTAAATCTGCATTATATTGACAAGAAACACTTACTGCTTGTTCTAACCGCATGTGGTGATAGTGCAGCAGTTGAAGCAGCAACATCCGAAGCAAGACGAGCCATCTCCGCGGAGCTATCGAACCATCTCTGAGGTCTGTCCACTTTGATCCGGAAAGCTATCAGACTATCCATCTGCTTGTTCAACATCTCAGCCTCCTTCACTATCTCTTCCACCTTACACTTGTAGAACTTCAAAACCTTATCGAACTCATCGTCGAGCCTTCTGAAGAACACCAGCTCGAATTCGCCTCCTTTTTCTGCGGCCCGGAGGAACACCGTCTCGTGTCTTCCGGCCACCGAACTGACCTGAATGGCTTGGTGTTCGATGTCTGGTTGTGCTGTTGGGCTTGTGGGAGCACTACTGTTGTTTGGTCTTGGTGTTAGGCCACTGAAAGCTCTGTAAAGTGTGAGCCTTCGCTTTAGGCCTTTGGGTTTCGATGGTGCTCTGTTTCTTTGGTTGCAAAGTTGGATTTGTTTCAAAATGGTCTTTAGTTTGTCATAATCCATGTATGCTTCTTGCCATTCTGGCACCATTTGTGACACAAATTCCTTGCCAAACTTCATCTTTGGCTTTTGGGTTGAACTATGAATGAAAATGTGTGTGTATATATATATATATATATATATATATATATAATATATGTCTATATATGGAATGGTACAGGATTGGTTAGTGTCTTTGCAGATGATTAAGCAAGAAGAGTTATGGGGACTGAATTGAAAGCCACATATCAAGGATGACAAGACCCCGCCATCAGTTTTCGACCAATCAAAACAACCGAAGGCCTATCACTAGCACTCCTCTGGTCCTCTTCACTCTTTTTCAATCTTTTGCTATCGTACGACACTATAATCACTAGCGTCTAACAAACACTTTTACATGTCAAAGTGATTAACACACATGTAAAATATATATTTTTAAAAAATATATATATTTTTAAGTAAAATATTTTTTTGACAAAAATTTACATTGAGATTGAGGTCGAGTTCAGCGGACGAGACATGTAAAATAACTTGTCGAAAATTGATGAATATATTATTTTTGTTAAATTTTAATATTTTTTTTCTTCATAAATATTTTACTGATAACTAAACAACAAAAAATAAAAAAAAATACTTTTTAAAAAATATTTTACATTCAAACAAACGGAGCCTAAATCACACATTCACAATGAATACTTCGGTTTTTTGTTATTTTTATATGATTTAATAAAAAAGCAATATAAAATTAAATGAATTAACTAAACCTCATACCCACTACATTTCTTACTTACTTAAATAAATACAGTAAGTGTTTGAGACTTATGTGGTTCATTGGGTCATGACAATTTTAAAGTTGGCATGTTTTGGTCATTTTCATATTATATTTTCTTTAATTTTATATGCACAACTAATTCAATGGTCTATTTCCACTAAAATACTAGAAGAATAGACAAGTCAAAAAAATTTATTAATACTTGCAAAAATAAAAAAAAGTAAAGTTTCAAAATGAATAGATCAGAGCAGTTGAGCATGCGCATTTCAATCATTCTCACTGGCTAGTGGCCACTCGTGACTATTTTGTTTGGATTTGTGTGGATCTCACCTACTATTCATTTGGGTCGGTTTGATTTAACCATTAGTGTCGGTGAAACCGACTGTCTGGGATCTAGCATGACTCTTATATATATATATATATATATATTACTTCAGACTCATTTTAAAAGATTAACAAAAATTGACTGCCTTTTGTCGAATGGGCTTCCATTCGATTACAAATTAAATAGAAACACAATTTTGTTAGTGAAAAATATCATTTTAAAAAATAAAAAGAAAGAAAGAAAGAAATAGTTCAATGTATTAACGAACTTCTTTACTCATACCATTAAATGATATATTTAAAGGTAAAGTGAAAGAAACTTCCTTATACTTTCAGCAAAAAACACAAAACTCTCTTGAACTAAGTAATGGCCCCTAAACTCAAAATTTGTAATTTAAGAACAAATTTTAAAATCATCGGTACGGTAGCTCACCGGAAATATTAAATTACCAAATTGGCCTTAAATGAACCGACACCGTTTGGAATGTTTATTGTAGTTTGTCAAATAGCAATCTTAAAAACCAATGATATGGCGACAACGCAGCACCTTATCAACAAGCTTCACCTTCCCTTCAACGTTTTAGCACCAAACAACTTCCATGCAGACTCCAATCTTAGAAGTTGACTCTGAAACTCAATTTGGAAACCATATCTCATTCCATACAGATTTACACTACTCACTTTAGCAGCCAAACACCAGCACTTGCACCAGACCCACCTATATACAAGCCACACACGCATGTATATATATATATATATAGAAGGAGTGAGAAAGGGATATGCACGGATCCACCTTGTCAATCCCTTCACCGAATTCAAATACGGTCGACTTTCATCTGCACCTTCGATCGCAATATTGAGAATTTCTTTCCTGATTTTTCAAAATTGCCAATTTGTTTCCTCAATTGTCTCCAAAATTTCTCTCTTTGGCAATCTCAACCGCCGCCGCCGCCGCAATATCGCCTCCCCTCGCCACCAGTCAACGGAGGAAACTTTTCATAGCCCGCCGTCGCAATATATATATATATATATATATATATATATATAGTTGAACAGAGGCCATGGATCTTGTATACTGTTGATTTGTTAGTTCCAATAAAACAATGTTAAGCCAGAACCCAAATAAAAAGGATTTTACAAATTTAATTGTGTATAAGGAGTAGTTCAGATTGGGGTTTGTTTGTTTGTTGCGCGAATGGTACAAGTGCGGTGATTGATTTATCAAACAACTTAAGACACCAGTGGTGAAGAAGATGAACGTGACCGGCGTGACTTGTCTTGCTGTGGTAATTGAAAGATGGAGTACATGTAGTTGGAGTTGGAGGGTCTCTTTCTTCCATTGGAGTTTTGCCGGCACCTGAGCTAACGCCGGCGAGCTTGAGCACGCACTTGACTGGTTGTTGTTGATGGCAATGGCGAAAATTAGGATTAAACAAAGACGTTTTAATTTGGAATTTTTATTTATTTATTTTTTAAATAGTAATAAGGGTAACTCAGTCATTTTAAAATTATATATTAGGTCAGGTAATGAATAGGAGCCGAAGTAGTATCCCATGGTGTTTTTTTTTTTTGTAGGAAAGGAAATAGTTTAGGGGGTTTATTATAAAAATAAAAATTTGAAAAATTTTTTAGGAGAGAGAGTAAAGTTATGGGGGTTTATTGTCCTTTATCCTATATTTAATTTATCTCAGGTGTAGGGTCACTGAGTTTGGTGAGTCTTGGTTCATTTGGAATGCATGTCAAGCTTGAACCAAATAAAAAATCAATGTTAATTTTTGGCCAAGGTAATTTACACCGATCTTCTATAATTTGTCATAAGTCGTGATACTTGGCAGAAACCTCTGACCTATTTGCTAGGTAGAAAGTAGAAACGATGTAGTGGTCTAGCTGGCAAAAATTAATTATATTTTGGCTTAGTGCGTGGACATCATCACAAAAACGATGTGGTGATCTTAACTGTTATCATCGGAAGAGGGCTTCGACGACCACCGGTCTTCTTCAATCATCTCGCCGTCATCCTCTTTAATCTTTATCAACAGCTGCTGGCCGAGGCGGCCCAATCATCTCGCCGCCATGCGCCCGACAATCATTCCTGCTTCAGCCGAAAATTTCAAATGATCGCCGTGAGTCTTTTCATCCAGCCACCCGCTGGAACTCTTCGTCGGAACTGGAACATTCATCCCACCGGCCAAATGGTCATCATCGGCATGCATACAAACTCATCGTCGAACAGAACAACTGTCACTGGTCCACGCCTTGCGAGAACAGCGTTCTTTGCCATCGGCAAAAGCATTCGTGCTCACTATGGCTAAGCATTTCGTCCTAGCCGTTTAGACCTTGTTATTTGGAATCATCTTCGCTTCTCGCCGGATCTCCGTGAACAAACTCAACGCCGGTGACATCATCCACCCTTCGTCACCATTGTCGGCGACCTGTTATTCTTCTCTGCCGGTTCTCTGTTGAATCCTTGCTTGCCATTAGGTCTAGTCTATGCTCACCACAGGACGGCCGGCGAAAAAAAAAAATTTGCTTTGCATCAGCAACAGTATCTTCGTCGACCCATTGTTTTAAACTTTTGAACGAACCCATAGGCCAACAACATCGCCTCTTGTTCATCTCGAGCTTGAACTTTACTGGTCTGCAAAACAAACTAACGTCGTATAACTTGCACCTCACGAGCCAACGCTCTTGCGAGTATATCTAACTCGCGCAGAACGCACCCACGCGCTCCTTCTTCAGCAATGTATTTTCGGTGCTGTTAATCCCTTCGCAGATCATCACCGCTGCTCCGCTGCAGCGACGCCATACCTTGTTGGTCGTTGCACATCGTCAGCCTTTGTTGGATCAGACCAACGCTATGGTGAAACTGGCTCTTGAGAGAGAGAAGAGATGGGAAGATGGATTGCAGGCATTTTTTTTTTTTTTACGGAGGAATTTTTTTAATTTTATTTGCCAGCTAGACTCCACCTATGATTCTGCCCAGCAAATCGGCCAAATCCATCGGTGTAAATCTCATTTTCCTTTGTCATGGGCATCTTCTATATATGGTTTGAAAAATTATTAGAATTTTTCCTAAAAATGAAATAAACTTACACGGCCCTCCCTTCTATTACGGTTAACGAATTCACAACAAATTTGGTTAATGTCATATACTGAATAAATTAAAATTTCCATATTAGCCTCTGTCCATCTCCTCTCTCACACACATACATATTGGTAGAGATTTTCTCATCTAATCAAGGGCTGTTTATCGATCTGTAGGTTTGTTTGCTATTTCAGAGATAAGAAAGAATGGAGAAGTTGAATTAATTGAATGTTATGGACAAATTGAATTCACTTCTTCTCACTATCAGGATCTAAAATCCAAAGAATTTCTCAAAAAAAATTGGACAAAGAATGGCTGCATTCACAGACATGCCTATCTAGTATTTACTTGACTTTCTTCTCCTCTTTTTGGTGGCTTCATTTTCAGTGTTGTGAAAACTCTACTCTTCTTTGTTCTCATCGTCGTCATAGTTGAAAGGTAGTGGTACTGACTTGAATGCGCGATACTTGCCAACATTATTCAGATGTTCGTTTTCCAACTTGATTCATCAACCAAATGAAACAATCATCACTAAAAAGAGAATTAAAAGTTTGAAGGATTATAAACCGAAATAATCGAAAATGTGGTATTAGCACCAATTTACCTGAAGAAGTTCCACATGCCACGACGAAAGATCTCAAGGACAGCAACAAGTGCTATCATGGTTTCTATATGCAGAAAAGGAACTCTCAAATTTAACACTGTTTGCAGCCAGACAAATTTCAACAGTACATTCAAGACCTGCATATTTCAACAACTTTGTTAGAATTTGTTAGAATTTTCATTGAATGTGCGTTGACACAACAAACAGTAAATCTACCAAAGGGCATCTGGTCCAATGGTATGATATCTCTGTCCCAAAGGGGGAGGTTGAGAGTAAGGCTCTTACTAGGGACGTATTGTGAATAATGGTGTGTGTGTGTGTTTGTTTTAAAAAAAAGAAGAGTAAATCTCATTGTTAATTATTCTACTTTGTAACGATCCGGTCATTTGCCTCCCTTT